AAGACTGAGGGCTTTCAAGGAAAGGAAGATACCATATTTAATGGTTTTTTTACCTTATAATTTATTAGATAGCCTGACACATATGCAGTAACCAATAAACATTGTTAAATTAAGTATTAAAAGATTGATTGAATGTGCAACAAAATTTTAAATCAAGTTTCAACAGAGGTGGCATCACAGTGGGTGTGAGCCATAGAGCTCTGAAGGAGGCTTCACAGCTGGTTATTGAAGGGCCAGTTCTGTGACTCTTGTACCTACAAATTCATCTTGGAAGTATAAGAGAATAGAGTTAGAGAGCAGACATAACTATAATACAACCAGCACCAGGGAAAGAAGGGCAGGTGACTGGATTCAGAAGACCCCTCTGTATTTGTAATGGGTAGAAAAAAGTGGCTAGCAGGGTTCACAGAAGTCAACAGAATAACCCAGGGGAGAGAGAAAGGCCCACTGAGTCCAGAGCTATCTTTGGCCACACACGGTTTTATTTTATTTTTATTTTCATTTTTTTGACTGTTCATAAACATTTGAAATTTTATTTTATTTTTTTAAAAAGAACACATCACAACCATGAACATTGCTACAGTTAGAGGCCCTCTTGGTTCTCCACAATGATGACTGAGCATGCTCACAAGGGTTCCCATTGTTAAATCTTAAACAGTCATCTTTAAAAGAAGGGAAAAAACCCCCAAAACTCAGCACACTGTCATTTAACTTGTTTTAATGTTTCTTCACAAATGGTGAAAAATACTAAAGTACAGACAAGGAATAATCATAGTATTGTGCCCAAAATTATATATATGGAATTATAAATTTAAAACTTTTTTTTTGCAGAACCGGGGATTGAACTCAGGCCCTTGTGCTTGCCAGGGAAGTGCTTATTCCACTGAGCCGTCTCCCTGGCCCTAAAACATTTTTTGGTTTAAAAAATAAGTCTGGTAGTCTAATTAACTAACTGACTAGCTAACTAACTAACTAACTAACTAACTAACTAACTAACTTTTCCATCTTGTTTATTTTCTTGTTATTGTCACTGGAGGAGATCTGCAGAAGGAAAAAGAGAAACTAACTACATCTTCCCTTTTTTCAATCAGACACGTTGCCAACACCAGTCCTACAGCCAGGACATTGTTGGACGTGTCTGTACATATTACAGTGATAATCACTAACTAGCTTTACACTGATTCGACTTCTGTGATGCATTTAAGTGACTGCAACATTATTTTTAGATGTAAAATGAAAAGAAAATCATGAATGATTCCTGATTTATTATTATCTAGGTTTCAGAGAAATGATCCTCTCATTAAGATGGAAAATTTTCTACATGTTTCTACATTGTTTTCATTGCATCTCCAACCATTTTTATTCAATGTAGTGTTTTATTGTCATTTCTCTTAGTAAATTTTCTGCTATCTCTCACCTCCCAATCTGGGAAAAATCTTGGTGAAGAAAATATGTGAGGGGCCAGGGAGATGGCTCAGTGGAATAAGCGCTTCCCTGGCAAGTGCAAAGGCCTGAGTTCAATCCCCAGTTCCGCTAAGAAAAAAAAAAAAAAAAAAAAAGTACGTGAGTGCAACCCTGATTTTGTGCAGGAAATATACACATCCAGTTGTGCTTCTTCGCTCATGCATGAAGCCCAGCGGAGCCATCTGGGTGATGATCTTCAGCGAGAAGATGCTGTTCTCAGGACGCTCTCCACATGCCTCTTTCTCCCGTGGCTTTCTGGGTCTTGGGAAGACTGCAGGAAACTCCCAATGTCAGGTTTGGAGCACAGTTTCAACAACACTTTGAAAATTAAGAGGTCAGTAGCATGGAGGGTTATCATATATTTTTACTTTTGAAACTTAGTTCAATTCATAGACAATCTGCCCGGTCCAAAATTAAAACAGCAAAATATCTGTGTAAAGAACACATTTGTGTGGAGCTACTAGGAATGTCTAGCACTATTGCCCTGGGAATGCTGGCTGGCCCAGGTTCAGTCAGCTTCTACAGCGGTGTGCATTATTTTGATGATTTCTTGTCTCATGCTATTTTCTGACCTTGTCTTTCAATCCTAGAAATCTGATTTTAAGAGTACTAGGTCAGTTTCATTTTATAGGAGGTGAGTCTGGGAAACAAGGTTGTCAGGGTTGAAGAGGTTGAAGCTGAAAATTCATGCATGAGGTCTGGAAATCACACAGAAGCAGACATCAGCAGTAGTAAGCAACAGCAGGCAAGGAGCATGAAGAGCCACCTGCATCTTCATTGGTTAGCTTTTCTATAGGATGTTATCGTATGTGTAGGTTCTTGTGTAATGCCACCACCAGCACCTGTGTGTCTACCTGTGCCAAGCCATGATCATACAACTGTGTCCCAATACTTGCCCATGCTAAACACTGAGGTCATGTCCTGAAAGCTGCCCAGATGCATGTGTACATGCCCCAAGCTTTGGACATTTTGGAGCAGTATTGCATCGAGGTTTAAAACATTGATGACATGTAAATCAAATTACAACTTACAATTTAATTATTGAGAGAAAAAATTTTCAAGGGATATGTGATACTTTTACAGCATGGTAATCTTTGCTCCCTGGTATCCAGCAACCTGGACAACAAAATAGACAGAAATTATCTAGCAAAGATGACTCAGTGTGAAGGAATATTGATGGTGGGCCCACAGGTCTCAACAACTCTTAAAAAGAATGCTTGTTATGAGACTTTCCCTTGACTATTTGTTAGGTGTGTAGCTGTTTTATGCAGTTTCCTGTAGGTCTAGTGGACCACAAAGGCATATGCTTAGTGGAGAAAGATGGCACTTTCCTCTAATTCATGCATTCTAGGAGGCAGAGGCAGGAGAATTGCAAGTTCCAGCCCAGCCTGGGCAACTTAACAACTTAGCAAGATCATGTCTTAGAATAAAAAGTAAAAAGGACTGAGGATGTAGTTCAGTGTGAATGCCCTGAGGTCAGTCCCAGTACTGAGAAGAAAAAACCAAACCAAACCAAACCAAATTGAAATAAAGCTAAACAAAAAAAAAAAAAAAAAAAAAAGAAAGAAAAGATGAAAGGAGTATAAGCATTTCAAATTGTGAAAAATATTCTTTATTTATTAAGTATAAGGATACATATATAGGAACACAGATGATCTCTACTCATAAATATTTCTATTTTTATAACTTAGTAGAATACAGAATTATTCTGTATGTGGTTTGTTTTATTTTCATGTATGTTTGGTTCATTTGTTTTTCTACTTACATAATTATTTGAAGAAGGGGAGGGGGAGGAATCAAAAATATTTTAGCAAAAGGGAATTATTTTTGTCTCCTTTTATGTTTTACCAAAAACAAAGCCAAAAGCTAATAGTGCCCTTTTTTTAATTAAGTAAATTTTTATTGAAGCTTAAATTGTGGTACAGAAATACATTTCAGATGATTTATTCCAACACCAATGAAGGGAGAAATTATGGCACCAAAATTTTCCCTCCTCTGTCACACTAGGATAGATTACTATTTAATCTACAGCTTTCATTTTTCTAGGCTTTGTTCCACACAAATCTGTGCAATTTTAACATTAGAACTCTTTAAGTATTTTGGAAAAAAGAAAGAAAGATTCAGACCTCAAGCCAACAAATTTCACCAAAGCCATTGGGAAACTGTTCAGGAATAAACTCTACCTTGAGCATTGATCCTCGCAACAGAGCAGGTCAAAGCATTAGGAATCAAACTGATCAAGTTGACTGAAAACTTCTTTAATGAAACATTCAATCAACAATGCTAAAATTAAAGTCAGTGTTCCAATCACTTGATTTCAAACCAAGTAGATTTTACACATTTAGAAACACTAAAAAAGGTGTTTCATTTATAAATATGGGAGGAACAAAACATCAATGCATCAATCCAGAAATTATCAAGAAAATATTGTGAGAACAAGTACAAAATTTAGCCAACTCTGCTATCCTCTCAGTTGCTTCAATTTGAAAATACAGCTGAAAGAGGCCAACTCTTGAAAGCTATTTTGAGTCACTTCCCACTGGGTGTTTTTGGAACTTCGTTTTCTTTATCCATCCATACCTTCTGCTACACAGTCAAATCTGAATAAACTGGACAGACACTTATTTGATCCTGTGAGTGCCACGATGAAGGAACAGATCAAGTGAGAACACTCACATGTATACAAAACCACACAACTGTGTCACAAGTGGAGAAGCCACCAAAATTCTATGAACTCAAACTTACATATGCTATATAGTAAGATTAGCGTCAATGGCAAAATAAGAGTAATGTTCCAACCTGGCTAGGCTTATTGAATCAAGGACAATCTTCATGCCTAATCTGCCCACTTTCCTATTTGCGGACAAAAATCCATTTATACCACTATTTGGCAAAGGGATAGTACTCTTGAAAATTTCATTGACTGAAAAGCACAGACTAGTAGATGGTTTTCACAGAGTTCAGCCAGCACATCTAATCTCACAACTCTAAGGATTTGGTCTTCCCTGCTTGCTAATCAACATGGAGATGTTTCTATGTAGGGAGACATTCAGTTTTCTTCCTCATCTTCAAGAGTTAGAAAGGAGGCCAAATTTTCATCCCCTTAAAAAAAAAAAAAAAAAAAACAAGCCCAGGAGCCATCCTCCCACCCCCGTGCATCCTCATCTGGGGTATAAGATTTATATACAAACTCCCAGTAGAATAGTGTATTGCTTTTATTTGGGGCCTGGAGGAAGGGAAAGACACCATGGTGAGGGAAGAAGTGAAGGACTCCAAATGTGGGAACAATTATTAAAACAGTAATACACAAAATGAACAACTGGATCATTTTCTTAGGATGACTTGACTCATGGAAGAAAAACTTTACTTGCTGTTGCAAAAACATTTTTATGAAGTATAAATTGGTTTCAATATTATTAGTAGAGAATATGTTCTACAAAGTGGAGGTAACTGGATGTAAAAATTCTGGCAGCAATATAATCGAACAGTCCCAGATTATTAGGCTGAGGCCAACACCTAATGAGGACAAAAGCCTTGTCTGTGGGGAATTTTGAATGATACCTGCAGAAATATTACACTGTGCATAAACCAAATTGAATTATTTTCACAAGTGTTGTAAAGTTTCATATAGTAAAAGTTTTTTTCTACATGCACTTCAATTTCACAGCAAGAGTGGCATAGAATACCTAAACAAAGAAGAGAGCATTCATGCAAGATATCTAACTCCTTGATATAATAATGCATACACTTCAAAATGATTACACTATCATTACATCTAGGGCTTTCTGCAACTACAAGGTGGCGGTTATGGAAAGCATGGCCCCTGGTATCAACATCTAGAAAGCAGCCACCACCTTCTATGTGTGTTCTCTTTTTGCGTTTTTTTCTTCATTTTTCTTAATCAACTCTGCTGCTGTTGCTGCTTCTTAGCAAAACTGGTAAACACAAAGTTGTAATCATTGAACATAGCACTCTGACAATCAAGACGTTTAAAACCTTCAATCTTCTGGGGTGAAGAAAGCACTGTGTGATATTTAGAACTCTGACTGACAAACAAGGTGGTCACAAATTTTCCTGGCATGAAGACTTCCACAATTTTCCTGACCAGGTCATCATAGGAGGTCTGACTTAAATTTGTTTCAAAGCTAACATAAGAAAACTCTGGTTCTGGAGTGATGTGAAAAGTCCAATAAGTTCTATCCGATTTCATTCCATTCATTGAATACCCACAAGGATTGAACAGTGTGGCATCAAAGACAGAACCTGGTATCAGGTCACGAATCCCACTCTCACGAGTGACATCCTTTGCAGTAACACCATCTTTCATGTAGAACTGGTCTATAACTCCTGGGTCAAGCTCACTCATCAGAATTTCCAGGGTCTGATCTGGTTGGCTGATTACTCGACTCTCTGGGAAATCCAGAGTATACAAGTACCAACAGTCAGAATTCATACATCCCATACAATATGCTGCTCCATTTGGGAAAATTGCATTAAGAAACTCTATTTCATCCTGGAAATTCCGGTGTGGGTACCCTTGGTGAGAAGGCTTCATGAAATTCTTACGAGAATAAAAGAAGCTTTGAATCGAATCAAACCCACTGTAATCCCTAGCAAGCTTCAACAGGGGAACCAGTGCTTTCAGTAAGGGGGTGGTACCACAGGTCTTCAAAATGAAACGTCTCTTGCAGACAAACGTGCTACTCTCACGGACTACATAAGCTTCCTGCTTGTCAGTTTTTGTCACACTTACGATTGAACATTACACATCCTTCAAAAGTATATCCCACTCAGATCTCGGGATAGTGTGAAGATCCCCAGATCCCTGGTTGGCGTCGGGCTGCTGACGGGAGAACCAAACCTCCAGCAGCTTCTCGGTCCCTTCGAAAAAATATGCAGCTTCCATCACCGTGAGACTAGCGAACAACCAACAACCACAGAAAATCAACTAAATTAAATCTCTTTTCCCGCCACTGCCGCCGCTGCGGATTGTTCCAGCTGGGTTGCTACAAAGTTCAGGTTCCTTTTTTTTTTTTTT